TCTAAGGTTAGACTGTTAAATCATATACAACCTCCACAACACCTTCCTTTCTCCTATTGCAGCAAATATGACAGTAATTATCTACATGGTAATCTCTCCATTGGATATTTTAAATAATACTTCCTAGGGAGCTCTAGTAGCATAGTGGCTAACTTGCCTGCTAACCAGACAGCTGGCAGTTCGAACCCACCAGCCACTCCTCGGAAGGAGGATGGGGCAATCTACTTCCGTAGTGATACTGCCTTGGAAACCCAAGGAGGGGTCACTATGAGTCAGGTCCGACTTGACGTCACATAACAACAACAAAAACAGAGTTTATCTACAATCCTTGGCTTGTGTCCCTCTTTCATCTTCAAAGCCAGCAAGGCCAGTTGATTCTTTCTCGTACTTCCATGTATTTAGTTCCAACTCTTCTGTCTCCCTCTTTCACTTTTAAGTACCCTTTTGATTATATAAAGTGCTTGACTGCTAACCAAAAGATCAGCAATTTGAACCCACCAGTTTCTTCACAGGAGAAAGATGTGGCAGTGTGCTTCCATAAAGATTTTTAGCCTTGGAAACCTTATGGAGCGATTCTACTCTGTCCTATAGGGGCATTATGAGTTGGAATCAATTGACAGCAGTGGGTTTAGTTTGTGATTATATTGAATCCACCCAGATAATCTCACCATCTCAAGGACAGCTGATTAGCAACCTCAAGTCCATGTGCAACCTCTGCTATGTAACGTAACAAGGAGCTCTGATGGTACTGTGGTTAAGGCATTAGGCTGGTAACCAAAAGGTAAGCAGTTTGAACCACTGGGTGCTCCACAGGAGGAAGATGAAGTGATCTACTTCCATAAAGATTTACAGCTTTGGAAAGCCTATGAGGATCACTATGAGTTGGAATTGACTTGATGGGAGTAGGTTATGTAACATAAATTGCAGTGGGTTATGTAACATAACAGGGTCCAGTGATTAGAATCCAGACATATTTAGGGGGCCATTTTTCTGCCTCCCACACCCAGTAAAGGTGTCAGGGCAGAGCACAACAGTGTCCACTATAAAAGTGAGGAAAAAAAAAAAAACCCTTGCTTGAAGATCCTAAGACTGGCCCCTGTTGACTCCTTTCTATCCTAGATCTGATGCCAATTATGGTGATTTTATAATTTCATTTGGTAAGAAGACATTTCAGTTCAAAATAGGCAGAAAAGTACCTGCTAGTTTGGGGCACAAAATGGGGAGAACACTGACCCATATTTGCTCCAAGCTATTGTAGTGACATAAGTATATGATTATATAATTTATCCCAGATAAAATGAGATCAGGGAGTGAGGATGGTAGAAAGACCATGAGCCCAGAGTCTGATGACCTGGATTTATGCCCCATGCAGCTGGACTTGGGGCCAGCAACTTACTTTTTCTCTGAATCTGTGTCCTCATTTTTAATGTGGAGGTGATAATATCACCCTCAGGATTTTCCATGGATTAATGAACTAACAGAGGGGAAGTACCTGGCATCCAGTAGGTTCCCAGGGGAGCACAGTAAGACTGGTATTATTATCATTGTTATTAATGGAGAAAATCGTCACATTCCTGAAGAACAGATGGATATTCAGAAAGTAACCCAAATTAGTTTAGCAGTGAAAAAAAAAAAAAAAAAAAAAACCTATAGAACTAATTGAAAAAATAATGTCCAGATAACAGGGAGTAACTAGTCCCTTATTTACACAGCAATGTGTCCCTGTATACTTTAGGGATTGCCTCTAATTCTGCATTCCATATTTTATAAGGGGCACTGACAAACAAGGAGCTCTAGAAGAGGGTGGTCAGAATGGTGAGTGACACGTGAAAATAAAATGGGAAAGAACTCTGTGAGTTTGGTGCGGAAAAGACTTAGGATTTGCAGCTGTGTTTTAAAATACTATGTTGGAAGAATCAAGAGACTCATTTTTTTAGCCTTTCCAGGCAAGGATTGGTAACAAGAGGTGAAAATTAAGAGGCAGATTTTAGTAAGAACCTGACTAATAGATGCAGTTGACTTGTAAATGGGTTGCCTCATGAGTAGCAAATAGTTTGACTTCTGTTAGACTTAGACCTTTTCTAGCTTTAATTGCCTAATACTCTGTAACATGAAGTTTGGAGTGTGTTACTTCCCTAAGAGGCTTATGTCAAATATCTGTCATCATTGAACTTGGACATATCAGTGGTTTGTGATATATCTGGAAAGGCAGAGTTCTGCAATTCCCCTCATCTATCTCCAAGGCCCAGTCTAAGGAGTGGGATATTTGAAATGAGGAGTGATGTCAACCCCTCTCATGAACATACACACAAGGCCCATCCTCATCATTAGAATCACCAGTTGCCATTGAGTCGACCCCAGTTCATGGTGACCTCATGTGTGTCAGAGAAGAACTGTGCTCTATAGGGTTTTCAATGACTGATTTTTCTGAAGTAGGTAGCCAGCCTTCCTTCCAAGGCACTTATGAGTGGACCCTAACTTCCAGTCTTTTGGTTAGCAGCTGTTAGTGAGTTAGTGTATTAATCATTTGTACCACCCAGGAGTTCTCATCTCTAGAATACCATTATCTATTCACACTCACTTTCCAGTTAGTATTATGCATGCTCTTCCTTCAGACAGGCACCATTTAGGAACAGTGCTTATAAAAGTCCAAAACAACCACAATAATGCTGCATAACAAACTACCTCCAAACTCCATTGTTAAAAATAGCCACTATTTACTCTCACTCAGCCATCTTCAGATTATCTGGATCCAGTTACTGACCTTCTTTCTGTTGCACATATCTCTTAACCTTTCCTTGACAACTGGACAAGCCAGGCCATGATCTTCTGATGGCCACGGCAAGTGGAAAGATGCAGAGCTTCTGAAGGCTTCAATTGGAAGTCGCACGCTACCATGTCTGCTGGCATTCCACTAGCTACAGTAAGTCATGTAGCCAAGCCTGAAATCAAGCAGAGAGAAGTA